ATGATTACTCTGACTGTACAGCGCTCTCTCGTTAAAACCTGGGTCATTTATGCAGTTTATTTCAACAATTTTCGGACGAAAAGTGAGGGGGATCACCCCTAAAATATGTGGAGGGCCCTGCTTCATAATCTGTGCTCATGGATGCATGAGAGTCCACACCACCTCAGTCAAAACATGGTTAGGGCTTAGCTAAGAACATTTTGAGAGCACGGACCTCTTGCACTCCGGAAATTGCACTCTCATACCTTAAAATCTTAACACTAATTCATGTCAACAATGTAATACAACAATTATTTCTCATAATACAATTTAGTGGGGTGCGATCGCGCAGTCTGCACCCCCTCCACCCTCCGCCTACATCCGCCCCAGCCTGAACCCACCAATTTCTTAATAGAAGGCTAAATTGCTTACACCAGAATGTTACAGGCCTCCATACCACATACCTGTTATTAAAATTAAAAGAACGATGTCTCTCTGTTCCCATTTTTACAATTAACGCCGCGTTTGTTTTCTGTATGTAGTTGGCAGATACAAATCCTCTGTGCTATTTTTTATGAACCTTATCATTCGTTTGGTTGTGCTGTTCTATTTGTGATAATCTGAACTGTTTGTTTTCTGAAATAAAATATTAAAGTGAATACTGTACTTCACAATGCGAATAACCTGTATTCGCTCAGATTTCAAATTGTATGAGTTTAAATCGTTGTAATTTCACTGTTCCCTGGTTAAATTCATTGCTGACCAACCTATCATTTTTAGGCTGTCACCTGTTATTTAGTTGATCGGCTGTTCCAAGCTTAAAACGTGACCCATTAAGAATGCATATTGGTAACACGCGCATCCGCACTAGACTTATTTTATAATTAAGACAATGTGTTCACTGAATAATAATATAAAAATATTGAATAAAATAACAAGTAAAACTCTTCGCATGTGAGCTTATTTCCTGTCCCAATCTGCCCTGACTAAAGCCTAACTCTGCCTTTGTTTCATTACGAAAGGGTTTGATTTATCAACAAAATCTCACTAACGTTAACGTCACAGCTCATCATATCATCTGTGACACCTGTGCACATAATATCATGTGTGCTATCGTGTTGATGGCAATTTTAAAATTTATTAAAGTGGCTCTGTCATTAAGTAGAGTATGCGTCGCGCGTACAACACGAATGGTACGGTAAGCGAGCACGTAAATTAATACGGGATTTATTGCAGCCAATCAGTAATGCAATGATCAGGATGTTAACATCAAATTGCATACAGATGTAAAGAGGACGCCAACGATTGATGACGAAACAACATTAAATAGACAATCAAATTCATAATGCACAAAATCAATTATATAATGCAATATTTTATTTATAACTGTTCATAAGTTGATCACATGTGAACATGCGTGAAAGTGTAAAAAATACCCCATTTATATTTAAAATAACAGACTACTGGACAAAATTGCATTAGTCACGTGACTCCATTATCGTCCCATTAGATTGGTTACAGTTATAAAAATAGGACACGTGATCCGACCTCCCGCTGACTAAATATGATTTCAATATTTTCGAATTAACTCAATAACGTTTTAAAATGCAAATTAGTTACTACAGCAGGAAATTATATTTACATTTACAGATATGATCAAATTAATAATCAATAATTATGTACATTCTCAGTGGGATTGACGGGTTCAACGAGGGCCCCCTGTAGGAATCATAATCGACTTCAGCTGTATCATTATTTTTTAAACTTATTTTCTTTCTCGCAGCGCTTTTTTATCATTAGCAGTGTTTGCTACACCAACAACACCACGCAGGGAGGATGGGTCAAGGTGTAACTATTTCGGATATAAGACGAAAACGTAAATAAACATAGAAAATTTTTCAATGTTAAGGAATAATATTTCCCTGATAACAAGCCTATACTGTAAATCTAAAGCCCTGTTCAGACCATCACAGTTTATTTGACAAAAACATGTGAAATGGTCAAGTTGACATCATGACTATACATGGGCATACAACAGTTTTTTTGTCAAAGAAAATTATAAGTGTGGACAAAACTTAAAGATACAATTTTTTTTTATAAGAACCCGTAAAATTTTGCCCAGGCTTAGTGTTCTTATTTTTTGGCCGATTTCAGGCTCAAAATGTTCTTATTTTGTTAGTTTACACACCTTTTAACCAAACAAATTATTTAATTCGACGGCAGTATGCACTATACTGGAATGTAGGTGAAAGTGACCCCACAAAAATGGCCCCCAAATGTCAGATAGGTACACCTACTCTACTGTATTATAGAGGGTATTACAGTCACACCTACTGCACATAATGTACAGATATATTTTGGTTTTTAAAAATATAAACCTCATTTGAAATTTTAGCTCAGCCTCAATTTGTTCTTATTTTGCTCTTAATTTTTAAGCAATTTCAGCCTCAGTGTTCTTATGAAATGTGTTCTTATAAAAAAAAAAAGTGAAATGATGGACAATGCATAAGGTTTATAAACTACCATGATACATTCCTAATTATTATGAAAAACCAGTTGCACATTGCTGGGTATGATGCTTGCATTAAAAACGAAAGGGTTTAAACACTTGTATAAATATTTTTCCTTGTATAAATTGTTTATCTTTTCTTCTTGACATCATGACTATATATGGGCATACAACAGTTTTTTGTCAAAGAAAATTTAGTGACAAAACTTGAAGACCGATGTGATAGACAATGCATAAGGCTTATAAACTACCATGCATTCTTAATTATTATGGAAACCAGTTGCACATTGCTGGTTATGATTCTTGCATTAAAAAAGTTTAAACCCTTGTATAAATATTTTTCTTAAAATTAAAAATAAAATCCCCCTTCCCTTAAGACTCATTATACCGTCGTCTCATATTCAAATATCAAAAACTGTGTTCAAAACCCAAATGAAACATTGAATAGATTATTAAATCGATCAAATAATTTATCAAATCAAACCACAAAAAGAGTGAAATAAAATCAATTCAATTTTCATTCATTAATTTGCAAGAAATGTTCATGAATATACATTAAGAACTCTCCTTTGTGACATTCCTATTACAGGGGTTCTATTGTATCAGGCCTATACAAAGGAAGTAAAAAAAAAATAGTTTTCAAGCTGTAATAGCTCAAAACAGACGCAATACAATTTATTAAACAGTTTGACCGACTGTTTAAGTTTAATATCAGTCTGCCGGATACATTTAATGTATTTAGGGCTGGCCTCACCTCTTCCTTCTCTATTTGGAGTATCGTCGTTATCTCAGTAGTGCATAGATATGTTTGTGATTGGAGTATACATTATCACAACCTTAGAAAAAGTATCAGAAATTGCGTCATAATTAAAACATTGCTAACTTTAAGATTTCGACTAGTGTGACCATGTTAGCAACGTCGAAAGTGAAATAGGTCCAAGAGTATTTTAATGCAGTTCTCAATTTAACATTATAATTACAAGTCCTCAAAGCTGAGTCATCTGTATTTCGGGAACAAACTTTAACGATAACTACAAGTACAATATTATTTATTGTTTTCAGAAGGTTGCAACTCTCTACGAGTTAGTAAAGCTTGGTTTGGTTTACATAAAATAGCTACAGTACTGTTTTCACTGTAATTGTTACACTGTGCAGCTGTCCCCGACGCGATCGAAAAAAAGCACCGCGATTCAACCTACCAATCAGCATGGGCGAACGCTATCTACGCTATCATGTAGCGATTTTATGGAAACCTGACATAATGAGCAAAATTGCGTTAACTCCACTTTTGTATACCTGTTCCCAATTTTATAGAGATTTATATTATATCATATGGTAGTATAGGCCTATCTTTCACAACTTAGGCGATTCATGCCCTTTGCTAGAATCAAGGCTCACATTCAGCTCGTTCAACATATTTTCAAGAATGTTTTGGGCACGAATGACGATAATAATAATGACGTAGTTTTTTTCGTTATCGTTTTCATAAGGTTGCGAAATCTCACTAATATTATCATTGCTCACATAAGATTAACATTCTGACATTTCTCGAGAATAATATTTCATAATTATAGGCCAATATATATATATATTATAATTATTGTTTATCATTATTTATTGTTAATATATTAAGCAATTATGTATTGGATGATAAATTAGCTCGAAATATTTCATTTCAGTTTTCCTCATAGGATACATATTAAAATCTCTTTAGTCTCATATATGAAAAATAAAAATAAAGTTACAGTATAATATTACACGTCATGCATGCGAATGCACTGAACAACTTACTACAAGCAGATGTCGAACATAAAGACGCGAAAGTACTTTATAAACAACAACCCGTGTATGATTACATTTTACCCTCAAGTATAGGATCTCATAATCAAAGCCAGGAAAAGTATCATCACGGCCGATCGTTAATATTGAGCAGTATTAATTGCCTCAGATTTATGCTCGAGTGGGTGGTTGGCAACGCTAATCATTGGCCCAATTTCCCAACGGCTTGGGGGTAAAGACTGCGGCAAGACAAAATTTGCCACGTTGAAACCGATTTCCCTATGGTTTGCTCAATACGCACATTAGTTTCAAGTTAACATCATTCATGTATTCATTTAAAGAAGCATGGGGCAGCCATACCTCTAGAACGAAAAGGACTTGATCAAAATCGATAGATTTCGTTTTTTATTTTTTTTTTTGCACTAAACATCTGTCATAAGAAGAAAAGTGGTGATTTACCCTGCGTGATGATATATAGCATTAGGTTTGTCATGCTACCCTGCTTCGTTTGGATAAAAATTACATCATTAGTTTCTGAATTATTCAATTCATTGCTCATAAAGCCATCTGCCATCAAGTTAAATGAGTATTTCAGGCACATATTTTTACAGTCGATTGCAACGGAGTAGAAAAGAAAATCAAATTCGACAAGAGTTTTGGTTTTATCATTCGATCGAATTAAAAATTCTTACACACAAATATGTGATTAAACGTGATACGCAAACAGGCAAAATGTTTTTTTTTTTTTGTTTTTTTGTTGTTGCCAGATTTGCTTTTTTAACATGTGTGATAGAGAAAAAAAATCGTTTGGTCTGTTCGTACACGCCTTCAGATGCAATGTTGTTCATTATCACTGGCATTATCGGATTGTTCATGAAACCAGGTCCCGTTCAAAACTATTAAGTGTAACATTTTACAAACCACCAATTTCCAAATACTGTATAATTGTCTGTTCAATTGATGCATGATTATGTTAACGAATAGAAACAGATGCTAAGTGGGTTACCGTATCAAAGTAGTATAACAAATTGACTATTATACTGCCTTTATTTCGCTTGTCTCCCGGCGACGTTTAATGTAAATTATACTTAGAACAATAACGATAATAATAATTAAAATCACCAAACCGACTAGGCCTAGAATTAAAACATTCATTGAAGTCCCAAGTTGCTCGTCACTGCCCAAGTCATCATTGTTGCTCGCGGCTTGCTTGCTTGAACTGTCGTTAGGTAGTTTATTCTCATTAGACTCAGTAATATTCTCCGTAACAAAATCGACTTTGTTTATGAAAATATCAATTGCGTTTTGAGAAACGAAGTTGTTTTGTTTGGTTCCCTTAGTGACAATGTTGTTTGAAATATCTGTTCGATCTTTCGTGTTGTGAACATTTTTCTTTGTGCTGTAGAGTTCGTCGTCTGGTTTCATCTCCATTGAGACACCAGACGACGTAAGTCTTGTTGTCTGAACATTGCCCAAGGCAGACGATAATATACCAAAATTTGATGCAATTGTAGATTTTGCCATTAATCGTGTGCTTTCGAACGATTCAGTTCTTTTAGTCACTTGTTTTGTTGTCATTGTTACCAATAATTTAGGGGTAACACTTGCGTCCTGGTTATTTGCTTGTCGCCTTGTTGATGTCTCATCACTGACCGTTGTGAATAATTCGTTTGCAACATTTTTTACTAACGTGGTAGTATATGAGACGGAATTATTCATCCTTGTGGCGTTGCTTGTTAAAGGTTGAGCTGTCATCGCCTTCCGTGTTGTCACTACTAATGGTGTTTTCGTCACCGTTTCGCTGTAACTTTCCTTAGCTTTCTTAATTGTAGAATGTGCTAAAAGTGATTCGTCAGTTCCAAAAGGCACAACACTATTGCTTATATTTGTCGACACCTTATTTGTTGATAGCACTGGTTCCATTGTCGTCACTAAACTAACCTCAGAGTTAGACTCTAGTGCAATTACCTGTACGTCTGTCGCTAAATCAGTGGTCATAACCGCTGGTGTTGTTCCCCATGATTCGACAAATAAAATCGCGCTCCCGTTGCCGGCTACACCAAATTTATCTAAAACCTGACATAAAACTAGCACGTTATTATGCTCTTTCCGCGTAGTTTCTAATATCCGAAGTCTTTTCCCCTTCCGTGTTATTGAAAACCTAGAATCGGACGGATCGACTGGGGATGAACCAATAACCCAGCGAATTGTCCCTGATTTCTTCTTTTGTGTCGTGCAGCGAAAATTAGCATATTCTCCTTCCATTACTCGATTTGCAACGGGCTGAACTAAAACGAAAACTTTTTTGCGATATGGCACAACACTACAGCTCAATGCGTCCACTAAAGCTGGCGTAGTCGCTGCGCACGTAAACTTTTTATTCAAGTCTTCGGCCTTCAATACGTAGCTCACTTCATTAACAGGGTTCGGATTTTGTGGCATGTACATCCGTAATATTACAGTCCCGGAGACCCAGACCAGTCTTGCTGGCGGATCCCCTCCGGACGATCTACAGGTTAACCGCACAGTATCACCGGCTATAGCTCCTTCTGGATGGAAGCTACATTTCGGATATCCCGCATCAGGTGCGACCATTATCTTTACAGTAGCAATTCGTGAATATTGGTTAAAGGACGAAAAAAATAAACATGAGTAACGACCAGAATCCTCTCGACTTGCATTAGCAATCTGTAAATTATATTCCCCTGCTCCCGGATCCCCGACTATTGAATATCTTCCTAGTTCCTTCGTAGACGATTTATTGTAAGGGTCGATTTCGGTATCCCTACTTAGTAACACATCAGAATCCATAGTCTTCCAAAAAATATTGTTAGTTCCTTTATCCTCCACTACACAACGCAATACAAAAGTTTCTCCCTCCACAACGGTTACTCCTATAGGCTGTTCGACGAATCTTACACCGTGGACCATAACGCATAATACGCATAAAATCAAAAGGTTTACATTTGAAAATTTACAAATCATAGCCTCCATGGTCAGGCTGATTTTATTACTACCTTTCCGCGATATAAATCCTACCGAACACCCATCCGTGCAAGTGTTGAGGTCTAGCCTTCAAGTGCAGACTACACCACATTCCCTTGTGAGTACTGAGCTTCATTTGAACTGCCTCGACAAAGTCGTTGCATCTCGTGAATACCAGCTTCCGGATTCTCGAGTGCGGTGACTTGCCTACAACGATTAATTCTGTTACAGTGCCTGCGCACACAGACCACCTCCTCTGTATAATAATAATACCTACTGGCGAATCCTCTCATCTATTTTTGTTACAAATGCTAAGTACTCAACATAACACTCGTTCGCCCAGCAGTTTGGTTCCGGTTAAACGATTTTGATTAATGTTGATCCCTTCGAAAATAATTCTAACGACGTACACGTCAAGTTGTGGTGAAGTAATTAATGTTCTAACAGAGATTCCAATAGCGTTTAAGCATGAAATTATGAAGGAGAGATGAGTTTCATTATACCATGGTATAAATATATTATGTATAATGCTCTATCCACCGTATTATTAAATGCTCGCTGATTAATGTGAGATTTGGTCATATATGGGCATGGTGATGCCTTGTTGAACCAATATGTGGACATGATATTTTATCAGACACATAATAGACAAATCAGATACAGATAATCATAACAATGTCATGAGATTTGTTTTCCTTGTTAAAAATCTAAAATCTAAAAAAAAAATACATTAAAATACAATATATATTTTGTAATCTGCTCATATATGGGCATGGTAATGCCATATTGAATCCATATATAGACAAGATGTCGAGTTGGCTGGAATCCATATCATCATAGTGTGAATAAGAGCATAAGGCCCAATAAAAATATACCATTATTTTATAGTGAAATGGCAGGTAAAATAGTCGTAGTAGGGTTAGATTTAGATGTGGCTTACCGAAAGCCTAATAACACTGTAATCAGTGAGGGTGGGGAATTGTGGACAGTATTCAATTGGAGACCACCTACAATAAATCCTACCGAAAATATATGCTACCGGAATTATAATAGAAACTGCTCTGATAATAGACACGTTAAAAAATTAAATTATTACACAAATTGTATCCACGTGCCCTGTTTGTTGAATATCATATTACTAAAAATAAATACATGATCGATGAAGATTACATTTTTAATTCCGTTACACATGTTTTATTCAACGAATTAGGAGACAAAGATGAATATATAAATTCTATAAGTGACAAAGTAAAATAACCAACGTAGAAAACTCAATAAATCATAAGCGTGACTGTTAGAGCGGCAGTGCTCGTGTGGCTTTGCATCAGGCCTATACTTGGGTTAACCTAATATCTTATGAACTATGGTATCAATATCATCACTTTAAAATGTTAACATATTTATTGTCAAATCCGTTTTCTTCTTCGTTCGTATTTGAATAAGTTACAGAATCGTTGTGAAAATATTGACCTAGTCTGGGGTGATAACATGATTTTTTTTGTCGTGTTTAGACTACATACAGTAGCATAAGGAGGTATACCCTCCATGATAACACATGCCACGAGCATTGCTATCAAAATGCTACAGTTTAGGCCCTTGATTAAACCTAATTATCAAGTTAATTTCATAATGTAGGCCTATCTTGGATTCCCATCATTATAGTTTCAGGCTGTGTCGTTATTTATTTACGAGAATATGACCATCATTATAGATGCTAATTGAAAGAAGCTACTAAAGCGATGATGAGATAGACGAGACCTGTGTATTCGGACACACCGGTCGCCTACCCATTATAAGATGACTGGACGGGTAAGAGGCCGTTTTTAGGTATTGATAATCAATCATATTTGTCAATGATACAATAGGCCCATATAATATATGTATTTATTTTCAAGGTGGGGTTCAGTTATTATTCCTACTTCGTTCAATAGTAGGAGTGTTGTTCTGAGTAAGCAACCGCATGTTACACATTCACTACTAAAAGTTTTACACATACCGGTACATCAGGCTCACTTTTCTTATTTTTGTTCTCCATCAGGCTAAAAACGTTCTTATTTTGTTCTTATTTTACATACTTTTCAAAGATAGAAAAGTAATGTTATTCAGCAGTATATTACTGTACTGTAGGACTATTACAGAGGGTATTACCAGGGAACAGTGAAATTAAGTGTAATTTCACTGTTCCCTGGTATTACGTACCGTACTGCACTAAAGAATTTCAATGTTTTCTTTGTTTTTCTAGCTTTTTAAAATAAAAACATAATTTGACATTTTAGCTGACCCTTAATTGGTTGTTATTTTGTTCTTATTTATAAGCAATTCAGGTTCAGTGTTCTTATAAAATGTATTCTTTAAAAAAAAGAGTGTAGACCTAAAACAAGGTACATCTTTATGAATGCCCAAAAATCACATTTCTCACTTTTCGTTTTCACGGACCCGTATACACGTACATTACGTACGTGTTTATTGATAAGCGTAATTGAAGGCGTACATGAATGCACATCCTATCTAACAAAATCATGGATCGCGGATAGGTTAGATAGTAACCATAGGGGTTATCTCTATGGTAATTCCTGCAGTAGGCCCCCTAGTAAAAATGAACTGTACTTTGCGTCCGGGGCGAAATGGTGGCTCTAGGAGAAATGATGAGCCTATTTTATTCATTGGTAAATATATTGAATAATTCCGATAATGATGGTGTTAAAATGTCAACATTCAGCCACCATCTCAAACGTCGGGTTCTCTATTAACCCATCAGCATAGTCTAGGCCTATCCCTAATTTGGCCCCTAAAAAATGAAAATCGTGGAATGATTCATTAATAGAGGCAGCAGATGATATATCATTAAATGGACCGAGGCTTCCATAGGAAATTGGGCAAATTAAGTCGTAACTATCTATATTGTATACCGTAGTGGAGCGGCAAAACCGCCCCCAATGGGCTGCTCAATCATCAGTCTGTACCCAGTCTACTGAGGACCTCAAGCAAAACCGCCCCAAATGCGCTGCTCAATCATCAGTCTGTATCAAGTCTTACTGGGGATCTTAGTGCAATTCAGATCCCACCATACTGTATAGGCATAGACCAACATCGATTTACCAGTGAGAATTGCTTTTTTTTTTTACATAGACTGCACACCCTCTGTCTCTTATACACATCTAGATGTGTATAAGAGACAGCTGTTACAGTGCCTGCGCACACAGACCACCTCCTCTGTATAATAATAATACCTACTGGCGAATCCTCTCATCTATTTTTGTTACAAATGCTAAGTACTCAACATAACACTCGTTCGCCCAGCAGTTTGAATAAAAGAGATGAGTCATTATAAAACCAAAGTAAGACAGACACGGTAAGCTATCGAACAAAAACAGGAACTCGTAAAAATAAGGACGAAAATAGGCTTTAGTCAGTCGAGTTAAGGAAGGTCAACCACTAATATTGCGAGGACAAATATAAAAAAGAAAATAAAGGAAAGCAAAACAATAAATATTGAATTTATACATTTTTTGAATTATTAAAACAAACAAATAAATTTAGGCCTACAGGTAAAACACTTAAACATTGTAGGCTTATATTACGTAACCATGATAGACATAATTAACTAGAGCTCCATATTAAAACATAATTTTAAAAGGGTGAAAATTCTATATTAGTACTTAAATTATATAATATACAGTCTAATGATACGTTTAAAATTTTTAATAATATTTATGAATGTGATATTTTTTGATTAAAAAAAACTGTATTGTTCCTAACAGGATTTGAACCCAAGACATTCCGATTACTTCCTGAGCTATGGGACCAAATGTACATGACTATGTAGGCTTACTATTAGTAGATGATTGATAGTATAATAAAATATTTTTTTATCAAAATTCAAATTTAAATCGTATACGATATAGGTAACTTAACATAAGGAATAACTATGACTGTTGTACTACCTATGAACATGCTATGAATAAACCCACTTTTTAGTTGCTTTTTAATTAAGTTTTTACACTACGTTGCGGCATTACTACATGCACTCAAAGTTATTTCAACGTGTGGCGCTATATAAAATCTTGAATTATCAAAATAAGTTACACTTGGCTTGTTTGGTGAAATAAAATAATATCTGTATCCCAAACGTATAGCCTATAGCTAACAATTATCCTAATACTATCCTTTAATTTTCTCTTATGCCAACATTATTGCTCACGGGCCTCTAATTCTTTCAATTAATGTAACACAGAAATATGTTTTTGCATTAGCGAACTAGTCTGGGTGATTTTAGTTGATGGTGAATCATCACCACCGACATAAGGCAACTTAATAAGTCACGCCTCATCAAAGGTAATCTTTGTCCTTTTTGCGTTGACTTTTACTGCAGTATGGTAAACCATTAATCACTCACCACAATGCCTTATTTGCTTTCAACATAACCAACATAATCTGTTAATAATATATCAGTGTTTGTAGAAGATATTTGTCGGGGATGTAGAAGTTTTTAATAACTGATGCCATTGTTAACCGTACTGTTTAACTACAGGTACATTTTCTATGCTGAGGATTACAAACACTATGTGTATTATCTTTCTATTGTCCAGGAGTTTATATAATATAATTCCTTATTATTATCTGGAAGATAGGCCTAGCTACTAGTATCTCTGCCAAGCAGTTTAGTTCCTGCGCTGATATTAAAATATTGGAGGATTCAAATCGGCTGTGATAGAGAAATCAGCATCGTGTGTGGTCTGCTTGATTTAAACTGGTTTATTTACGACAGCATTGAGTTACTGACGAATCAGTCTTATGTATGTACTCGTAAAAAGAATATAAACTTATTAATTACCATCAATAACAAGTCTCTATGGACGTTTATTTAAATCGGGGCGAACATTTTCTGTTCGAATGTCGAGGCACGAATTGAGTCAGTTGCATGTGCTTTCGGTCACGGTATCGAATGCTGTAAATGTGCATAGCCAAAGTAAACATTATATTATTCTTCTAAATTAAGAATGTTACAGGCCACACAGGCACATAACTTCTTGTCCTCAAAAAAATTACCCACAAGCCCGACCACACGTATTAAAACTAATAAAATAAGATACAACATAGAGAAAAATTACATATCAACATATACATTTTTAAAATTTTTCCTGAATATAATTGATTCCGTGAGTGATTGGTTTTAATTTAACAATCGATTTAACTGATAAATTGAATGAATGATTGCTCAATTCGCTGATTGGTTGATTCGCCGTTGAATGATTCTTAATTAATCAATCACCTCGGTCGAA